TGCAAGTGTGATAATTACATATGAATGCTGTTCAAAAAAAGCTTGAGAATGTCACACTGCAGCAGTGTTGTTATTGTTAACTAAAACTATTTAAAAAAAAACAGAAATAAAAATAAACAGTAGATAAAAAGTACACTTTTGTTTTTTTTAACTAAAAACTGAGGGAAAAAATTAGTTAAAGCTAGACAGAAATGTTTTAAAACACTCAAAACTAATTAAATAAAAAAGCACATAATAAAAAATGCTAAAATTGATTCTTTTACTGTTCTGAATTGTATCTATTAACGCTCCAGTGTGGCATCTTACCTTCTGACAATACTGTCAGGTAGTGCACAACTCACTAGAAACACATGGACACCAATAAATATTCGCAGTAGCATCAAACACACGCCGACAGGGGAGTACAGCAACAACAACAGCAGGATGAAGCGATCATTTGGTAACCTGTGGAAAGAGATGACAGGAATAGCAACCAGCTTCAGGATCTATTTATGACAAGAGCCGTTTGCCAGAAACTAACATCTCTCAATGTCAGAGACCTGAGCAGTGCACACATTTCAAATGTTTACTAACCAGTGCTTCATTTCTGCTGTCATGTTTGAGTTACTCAGAGATCAGAAAGACAAACCTAAGAAACATGAGTTATGGGGAAACCTTGGTTTTTGAGAGAAAATCATCTAATATACGATCATGCATTGTTATTTTTAATTAGATCAGTTTTATGCAACAGGCCGTACTGTTGAGATTAACAACCACAAATATTAAGACTATCTGTGTTATTATTATGCAACATATTTGAATGAAACATAAACATAGCCAGACTTTTTATGTAATGTTACTGCAATACTCTCATAAACCATACAGTACTATTCGAAACTGTTCGAATACCCTTTATGGCAAATATAGTGTATTAAATTACAAAAGTGCAAAAAGAATCAGACAACATTCATTGACTATCCGTTCTCATATGCATGTATCTGAAGATTTTATACGCTTCAGACTTTATACGCTTGTGTTTTTGTGAGTTTGATGTTGAACATGCTACGGCTAATTATATTAGCTCTGCAACTGTTATCATTTCAAGCTTGGAATGTGAGTAAGTTACCGCTGGAAGTCGAACATCTGCTCAATCCCCCGCGTTTCCATTATTTAAACTCTTTCTGGGATACTTTCAAAGGCTGCTGCATACTATTCTTCGGATTTTAACGGCAGGTGAGAGGGGGAGAGACGCTAGCTCGTTATTAGCCTGTGCTATTATTCGCCATGTTGAGACGCTGCTGATGTTTCTAGATGGGGAACAAAGAACTTCACGAGAGATTAGACACTCCAGAGCTATTTCCGTGTTAGGTCACGTGCTTCGCAGTAGCTCATCTGATTGGTCCCTAGATGTTGAGGATCGATTTACTGGATTTTACACAAGAATTATATTACTCAATGTTTAATAATGCACACCAGCAAATAATAAATATAGGAGAAGTACAGTTATCTACAAATACAGTTTAAAATAGCTATTGTTTGATACAGAACAAAGTGTTTTCATTAATGCAACGAAACCGATATTTAATATAAATACTATAAATATTTCTCTGTGTTACTTTGCAAAATAAGTGTCTTAATTACTGTTATGTATTAACCATTTCAGTTATAAGCCCTAGAGTAAAAGTCCAGCGTCCTCATTGCGCATTTGATAATTGCTACTAAATAGTGAAGAGTGGACGAGCTGGTAAGTATAGCTTCTATGTTCCTCTTGAGTTTTCAAAGGACAACTCACCTTTCATCTTCATCTTATTCACTTGCTTTACTAGGCGCATTTTTTAGTTAAAGGCTGACATCTTGCGTTATGGAATATGAACTACGATACAATCTGACAACCTTTCATAGCCTTCATCAAAAATACTTTTTGAAAAATACGTATTGTTATAAAATGAACTTAGTATACTTATTTATGTTTTTTTTTTTTTTTTTTTTTTTTTACA